AAATCTTTACAACATGTTGAGGACAACGTGGATTATGATTGCCACGACACTAAAAATGTAGTCTTTGCAGAACACTGTATCGTATTCTTTCATTGAACAATAAAAAACTACTACGCATGTGCATTGATTGTTATTGTACGTACCAAAAACAGCCAGGTCACATGCGTACTAGAGAATTTTTTTATTGAATGAATACTCAGCTGTGTGCTACAATAACAGTTTTTCTAGTACAGAGTAAATCATAATCCAATTATTCACCAAATATATCATCCATCAACAGTGTTCACAAATTACATATTGTAGCCCGATAAACCAAATCATGTCCTCACGAAACGTTATTCGGTTACATCTAATATGTTAGTATGCGTCACTCGGTGAACGCCCTTGCTACACACACGTCTTATGAATAGGTAGGGCCAGGGCACATTCTCTGAATCGCTACATGCTTTATTGGCACTTATAGTTGTCTGTTCATGTCGCGCTCCGTGTAATTCAGTAAACAACAACCAACTCAGCTAGCAAGGTGTTCTATTCGATGAGCCACAGTTGTAGCTTCACGTAGTGTTCGGTGAAGGTCCGATGTAAGAAATACATTTTCCTTCCTTCACTGATGTCTACGGTAACTCACAGCCATTGCACGTCGCATCAATAACATACAAAACAAGTGAGCATATGACAAACCTTGCAAACGGCCTGATATACCCGGATTCTGATGTCCGTATTACGTCCTACTATTTACAATTACGCACATATTCCAAGAATTGTCTTGGCTTTCAATGGAATAGGATTACATGCATATACGTCCTACTTTACTTTCGCTTTGTGCCCAAGAATATCTACCAGGATGCAGAAGTCGAACTTACAAGACATTCTTAGTTTTCACCTATGTATTCGCTTTAATTTCACCTGTGCCCAAGAATGCTGGCCAATAATGCAGAAGTCGAATTTACAAAAAAATTCCTGGTAGTCATGACATGTTGATCACCTACTCTGAAAAACTGACTGTTTACATGAAAATAATCTAATAAATAATCTAAAGTAGTCGAATATATCCTTTGCGTGTTTGAAATGTCAACGTTTGACCCCTTCAGATAAATCTGTTGTTGATTGTCCCGGAAAACCAGACAACTGTTCGTTTCCTAGGTGAACTAAATTAAACTGCATGCACTGACAAATATGCTATATGATTTTAGTGTATGTGAGCGGCCCCGAATTTATAAGAGGTATTTAACACATGCACACAAAATACTATTTACAGGGAGTTACGATTTGTCAAAGGCAAGATACATAAAGAGCGTACCATCAGGTATTATATGGTGTCAAACTAAGATGTGTGTTTACGCAATTTATATTCTTTTTTCAAGAATTTTTCATCAGAATCGCAACAGACTGCAAGCAAGTCTGCCATGAAAGTAAAGTTATGAAAGATGCAAAATTAACGGAAATTGTATTTTTCAAATCTTCACGGCATATACAATGATAAATGGAGAATATACACGACAGACTATACACAGAAATACACTTACAACTAAAAAGTAACTTTGTACGACACGTTCAGTCCACGTCGTTCCAAATGAAAACAACATGAGAAGAAAATGCAAATAGAGTTTGTTTCTAAAACATTTTTTTGCTTTCCCTTCTTGAAAAGGTTTCCATGATGAATACATCGGAGAGATTGGTAAATGGATTAACAAGCCTTTTGGACACAATTTGTTTTAAATAAAATTACATTTTATGCATTATAAAAACTATCGCTATTTTGTCTAAAACTCATTTTGAATTTTCAAGGTGAATGTTCCGGCGAAGCACCCCATGTCCCGAACGGAACAACACCGGAAGATGCCTCAAACTGTGACAATGTTATTATTTAGCATACAGTGTAATAGATCCAAAATAATTCTTACTAGAATGATACTAATTAGTTGACCCCAGATATCCACAATATTTTCATCAATTCTCACCACATTGTATGGTATTTAAAATATATCAAAAAAAAAAAGGATATACATGTATTAATCAGTCAACGAAATGGTCGTTCAACAAAATAGACTTTCTATGAAACGGTATTTGGATGTAATGGTTTTATACAAAATATCGTACAGTGCTTGCTTTATCTATTCTTATGGTAGTGACCAGATGTTTGAAACGAGAATAGTTTAGATAGAATTGGATAAACAATCGATTTCGGATCAAAAATTATGTTTTTGTTTTTGTTTTTAAAGGCAACATCAAAATCATTTCATGAATATCCTGACATATCCATCTTTCGGAGAATAACACGGAATTATTAAATGCCACCATTACTGACTAAAGCAATATAAGACTCAATGACGGAACACTTGTTGCGTGTACATGGACAGCCAGGTGTATTATGACGGGGACAACCTGCGTCCTAACTATTAAATCCATGGCCTTTTTCAGATTGTCTCAAGCATTCCACGCCCTTGATTGTTTAACAGTCAGACACATATAACCAGTGTGACAGTAATTCAAAAGAATGACACACGGTTTCACCTTGGGTGTGACACTGATACTGAATATGTTCGCTTTGTTTAGTCAATGTTTTTTTTTTTTTTTTTGCAGTTCTGGTGTAAAGAACGTTGTACTGAACTACCGTAATTGTAATCAATTTATTTTGTCATACACTGTATAATATAGGATTGTTATTACATACTATTCACCAGCTCTGTTGACTGTGGTCTGATTTGCCGATGAATTTGTATTTTGTTGGTTGATAAGCAGTGGAAGCATTTCAAAATCATGGTTATAAGGCTGTGTCTTTTTATGTCAATGTAAACTTATTTCGAGAACTCGTTTATGCAGTTACGGTCGGTGCGAATGTCCCGAAAAAGGGACAGGCTCCGGAGACAATACAGAGTTTACTAGTATTTACTTTCGCGAAGGTTACCGTTCAGTTCATCATAGTTAATAACACCGCGTTCAGTTATATATTATAATTAAGTCGTTTTCAAGTTGGTGTCCGTTTTATCCATTGCTTTTCTATTTTTCACGTGTTATAAGCAATGATAATATTCACAATCATAATAAATAGGCCTTCACTTACACCATACTACTGTACATACGTTGGTTAATCTCTGACAACTAGTTGTCCGAGGCTAAATGTACATGTTTGTACCTCGGCCGTCTTAAATCGGCTAATTAGCGTTCTAGAAATGCCTTGGTTAAATGCCGTGAACTGGCTACATGTTGTACATAGGACCCGACAACTCTAAATTGACTACCGTAACGTATTCACTGTTGCAATTTTATTGACCGAAATTCATCCAATTCGCGATAGTTGGTTAACTTGTGGATTACTGTGAAATACTTTATTTTATCTGGAATTAATTTTCACTGAAACGACTTTTGGGTTACGTGTGGTTTACAAGCTGTAACCATTACGTAACTACGATTGGTCTAGCATCAGACAATATAAATACACGTTAGACAATAAATACACGTTAGATCATGGAGCTAAAAAAAGATTAGCTCCATGGTTAGATATTGTTTACTCGTCCCTCAGCCTATAATAAATCCTAAAATATCTTACTTGTACAGCCTCTGCACTCATCGGTATATGTACCAGGCGGGGTGTATATTTATTTATCGTAATAAAAAAGTATACAGAAGTGTTTCACCGCATAAAGTATAAAGTGTATAATCTGCAAAGCATGATGGGAAAATGATATGGTTTCTGCTGCAACTCATTTTCGTTACGTGATTTTCCACGAACATGCATCGGAAAATTTTAGATTTTTTGTCCATAGTAGCTCAATTTACCCCCGTTTTTACTTGTAAATACTCATAAATATATTCAATACTTAAGGTTAGACTATATGTTTTAAAAACATTTTGCAGTTGACATCTTGTATGTTCGTGACAACAGTAAGGCAAGTAATTGATCTACTCTGCCAGGACTCAAATGATCGAATATTATTAATACATTTAAAACAGTTTTATCAGTATTGTATATCTTATCAGCCGATAACTAGCAGTACAACACCTTCTTTGTAGTCACTCTCTTGAAACATACACGTCCAATTGTATGGCCGTCGGGAACGTCATTCAAAGGCTTAACAAATCACGGGAAAACGAATGTAATGGCGGCCCACCATGACAAAGCATTGGTGTGAAACTCAAAGACATGAGTATACAACAGTGAACTACAGTACATAACAAGATTTGCTACTGTATTTCAAAGTCACAGGGGGTATCAGCCAACTCGCTATGAAAGGCCAGGAGCGGTACACTTACCTGTCGATTAGAAGACTTCTTTTCACGGCGGCGTCTGTGTTTAGTACTTGTTGTGGAATGACGAACACATGGGCGTACAGCACGACGGCAGAAATGAACACGGTTACTAATATAATCCCGTTACGCAACGAGCCGAACATTCGGCGAGTAACTACTTGCCACCGTCGATCCACCATGTCCTTGGGTGAGTCGTATATCGACACAGGTGGTTAGATTGGCAACTGCCAGTAGCTTTGTGTCAACAACAACAACCGGATCTATGTTGAATGTTGATTCTGCCAGGGGACAAGTAGTGGTGCAGCCTACAGTTGGTTTTTAAAACTTCTTGAAATCCGTCCAGTCCTCGCAGTCACTTCATAAAGAGTAGTTATCTAACAACAGATCAGCCCTATGTCGTATGGATAACAGCTTCGATGTAACTGGAGAATGGCCTTAACGTGGTTCTCGTCGTGCAAGTCCTTTCTACTAACCAGAGGCCGAACTATAACTACACATTCTTAATGAGATGCAAAGTGGCCCTCAATGCGAATGGAAGTTGTCTACGTCATCGTACGTTCGGGTGCGTACGGCTATGCCTGTTCATTTGGTAGTATCATCCAAATTACTGTACTAGGCGTTCCCCAAGATTTCGTCTTTTATTATGTCCAACAATTTGAAAACGGGCGTTCCTGTTGAGCAGCCTAAATAGCCCAGTCCTATTCAGATATATTGAAATTCAAAATCAGTTACTATACGCAACCATGGAGGTAAAAAGAGACCTCCATGACGCAACAAAACACAGATAAGTGCAATCTGGCATCATCATAATTACTACGCATTAGGGAACATAAAACCCAATGAAACTTTATATCTCACTGTTTTAAATAGGCATTATCAACGTTCACAATATTTTCATGTGGACTAGACCGGACGTATTTGTCTGTACTTGTTTTTGTGCTCGTTGGAATTTAAAATTGTGAAAGTTTCACGGGGTTGCATTTATTTGTTTTCACTACTAGAGCCATAGTCAGGAATAAAGGCATAACGACGATCAACAGTAGTGTGGCAGATTCAGGCGCCTGGGTTCGAGCTCAGCGGAAAGCGATAAACAGACAAACAACATTTAAAATCACAAAAATAGTTTTAACGAGTGTCTTTATAAGCTGTAACCAATTCTGATAATAGAATAAGCGCGATGTGTCGAGTTCAAATTCATTCTGAATGCATTCTTTGTGAGAAATCTCGAACAATGAATATTTGAATGCTTGTATATGTGAAAGCCCGTCGCTTCTCATAATACATTTAATTTAACTAGTTGATTGAATTGCAGTCAGGTACGTTGTATAGCAGGCCCTCGTGACGTGAAAAGTATTGATCTATTTATACGGTCTGGTTAGCCTATTGTATGAAGTTCATCTAAGTAAAACCGAGGGTTTGGATTCAGAAAGCTTATATGTTTTTTTTTTTAAAGACGCAATATAGAAAAAAAACATGTTTTTTTTTAATATTATTATTCGATACTCCATATCGTAGACCAAATTAGACTATGATTACCATAAAACGATTTGCAGCAAAGCGCGCAACATTATTCATAAGATGAAAAATCAGAACTACAAATACGCATGCGCAGTGATCGTAACTGTATATCGAAACAACCAGTGCACTGGACTTGCATACAGTCTACTGCATGTGTTTTTTCAATGGAAAAAATATTATGTTTGTTTCACGGTAACCATTTATACGCCACGTAATGTTTTCTCTCTATTAATATTAATAAGAATTTCAATGACATCACAAATTGGCGTAATTTACATATCTGAGGCATGGATACGCCTATAAATATAGATGCCGAATATATAATTGAACTTTGCAGCTTTCACGTCGTTGATCTGAACCTCATTGCCGCTGATGTAAACAGGTTTTCACACCGCGTTTCGCCATTTCGTAAGAGCCACCAGTGGTCTTTGGGTGTTCATTGACATTTCTGTACAGTTTGTAGTCCAAGCAGAAAGGCGTAATTTGGAAAGTTACAAACTTTCCGCCACCGGTCAGCGATGTATAGCCTACAAGTATCTTCGGTGAATTTTTAACGATGTCTGGCAATGCCATAAAAAAAATCAAACAATATTGTGAAATGCAAGCATGCGAAATTTTAGTTTCGGCGTAGTTTCTAATAAACTATCGAGACAAATTTTTGTTCATGAGAATATAACTCCAATTTCAGTGGTCCGGACCCCCACCGAAAAAAATATTCAATTTGTTTTTGTAGAATATAAAAAAAAATCATTAACTTAGTCTGGCGATTTTAAAGTTTGGACCTCCCCCCCCCCCCGAATAAAAAAATCCTGTATCCGCCCCTGAATTTTGACCATAACGCTGATCAAGTTCGTGAAATATCGTTGAGCCTGTCAATTATTGCAAACACGCCCTCAACCCCATACCGGTAACAATCACCACCGGTGTGGCAAGAGGGCGTTTACAAGTGTCACAATTCCCGTGTGTTTCGCGGTAACCTGGCTTTCGCCATTTCTCGCATAATATTTTATAATGTTTAAAAAAAATCAAGCATGAGACTGTACGCAACTCCGGTACACCGATACACTCGCGTGTTGGTGAATTGTTATGCCACAAGAGCAGCGTTTCATAACAAATTATAGTTCAAATCATCCAGGTGAATAACAATAATAAAAAAACAATTGGTCTCATCAATATACATCTTTAAAAATGCATTACGAACGGAAACATTTAGTTTTTTTAATATTATTTTTCTATTATCCACACTAAATCAGACTATCATTTATCATAAACTATAATTCCTACAGTATTTCTTAGAATCAAACCTACTAATACGCATGCGCGTTCGTGATTGTACGTACCTAAAAACAGTGCACATGCGTATTAGTTAATTTCACCAAACAATCACTAAGATACATGCTACAAGAACAGCGTTCATGACAAATCAGAGTCCAATGTAATTAGGCATATACATTGGATAGCTAAAAATACACTTTCCAAATCACAAAAATATTCGCAAAAATTAAGTCAGTCAAGAACAACTCTGAATGATACCGTTTCTGGGTTAAAAATTAGCATATATTCAAATTAAACTATTTGTTCTTGAAATCTGCCTTTTATTATAAACAGACGCATGAATGCATAATACGTCACGTGCATGTGGTCAAATGGTCAACAGTGATATTATTGTCCGTTGTCAAACGGCAGAACGATGTTGCCATTGAGCCTTTATTTTGATGTTCATGAAATTGAGTATTTGTTTTTTTGTTTTTACTGACATTCCGAGAAAATCTAAAAAATAATCCCTAATTTTTAAACTGATACACGCGATGACCACACACCTTGAGGCGTGGGAGTCGTCATCTGCGCATGCTCATGCCTTTGCGTTTTTAACGTGCGATGTTATCGTCGCTTGGTGCTCAATTCCCGCGCATGCACAGGTGACAACCGCTGCGCACTAATATTTACCCAGTGTTATTCTAAGTGCGTTTCAAACACTGAGTGGCGAACTTACGTCCTTTACCGTCCTTTAAATATGACTTAAAACAGCACCAGTTATCAAAGCTAAGTGATTCGGAAGGTGAACCATCAACATTTTGGAAGCTGTTACGAGACTTAAACTCAGATTGTTTAGATAACAACAACAATTCAATTGAGCCCAATGAATGGCTGCCTTACTTTAAAAAGCTTTTAAACAGTAACAGTCTATCAACTGATTTAGAAACAAATCGCCTTAATAAAAACAATTTAAATGAAACTAGTCAAACTGATTGGACTGTTGAAAACAAAACAAACAGCAAAAATGATTTACCTGAAATCAAAAAAGCAATTAATCAACTTAAACTAAATAAAACATCAGGGGAGGACGAGCTCTGTAATGAAATGTTTAAATATGGTGAATTCTACATTCTTGAAGGGCTTCAAAAATTGTTTAGTCATATATATAATTCAGGCATTTTTCCAGACAGTTGGAACACGAGCTTAGTCGTTCCTATTCACAAGTCAGGGTCCAAGACAATTCCTAATAACTACAGAGGGATTGCAGTATCTAGCTGCTTAGGAAAACTGTTTACCAGTATCCTGAACACTAGGCTAATAGCATACTTGGACAAACAAAATATTATTTCAAAGCATCAATTCGGTTTTAGGAAAAACTGCAGGACCACAGACAATCTCTTTATATTAAAAACAATTGTACAAAAATATCTCTATAATAATAGCCATTCAAAAGATATCATAACCTCCAAGTCTAACAAAATCTATGCTTGCTTCATAGATTTTAGAAAGGCGTTTGACAGTGTGTGGCATAATGGTCTCTATTTCAAACTCCATAAAAATGGCATATCAGGTAAAATGTTTGATATAATAAAAAACATGTACGAAAACAACAGGTACAGAATTAACACAAAAGAGGGTTTAAGGTAGCGGGACTATTATTTGCTTACTTGTTTTCATCTTCTAATTGTGACCAAATGACTACAAATAGATCCAGGAAAGTATATATTTTTAGAATCGCCAGACTTCAAGCTTTGC